TATTTATTCAGTTCAGTTTATTTATGTAGCAACTTTTTATAACATGCCATCTTAGCGGACTTTTTAACAAAAGTAATTTTAATTCATTTTAATCCTAGTTACCAATCAAAGGGTTTTAATTTTATTAGGACTGAATCAGTTCATCAGTGTGAATGTGTGTGTGAATGTGAGCCACTGTTTGTATTGTAAAGCATCTTTGAGTGTTTTTTTAATAAAGTGCCCTGTAGGTTTTATATAATTTTCATTACTTTCTATGTTAAAGGAAAGTAAAGCGTTAACAGGTGAGGGAGAACATTTATTTTTTGGCAGCATTACCTCTGATTCTCCCCTGTAGGAAGGAATCGCAGCCAAACTGACCTTCTGTTGCTCTATGGGGACAAAAATCAGAGAAAACATTAAGATAACATTTGAATTAACAGAAAACTGGAGAGTAGTAGGAGAAACTAGCAGAGTGAGGAAAATGGGTCAGTTTTTCCTCCAGCATATTTAGAAATATAACTCAAGCTAATCTATTTCAGAACGAGGCGTGAGAATCAGAGCCCTGGTGGGGAGGCGGACCGGCCATCAGGACCACCAGGGGGCGTCACTGTCCCAACATGTCTTCATTTACATTATAGTCTGGCCAGCCCACAGTGTGACTGGACTGGCCCAGTCACACTGTTAGACAGCAGACTCTTTATTTCTGGTCCTGTCTGTGTGATGCATTATGAAGAAAAGGAAAAATTTCACCACTGAAACGTCCCTGATATGGAGCTTTTCCAGTCATGTTTAACTGATTTGACTGATGAAAATGTCCAGGTTTTCATCACTATTCAGGAGACTGTAAAGCATAGTTACATTGATTGGTCTGATTTATGGAACATGTCAAACTTTATTTCACGTCACGTCCTCCCCGTCTGCAGGAAGTGACTGTTTTTATCCGTTCAGACACTGAACTGACGGCTGATGTTTACAAAGCACCAGTGAAGCTTTACAGATTAACCACTGAACAAATTTAACAAAACATGGATGTTGTAACTCACCATGACCATAGCTGACGTATTTCTGTGATGAAGGGGTCAAAGGTCAGGGGGTCACATGCACAAAGACTACAAGAAGTCATGAGTGAGTTCATGTAATAAACTGTAAGAGGAGGACGAAGACAAAAACTACTTCCTGGAATACATTTTTTCTCTTTTAGAGACTGCTGCTTTTTATTTTTATTTCAATAAATATAATATCAGATTTCTGTGTATTTTTTGTCCAGGTTCATTTAAAAGTGAGTTACTTTTGTTACATGTTAATATTTTAAGCTAAAGAACAGTAATTATTAGAGATGAAATTATATGAAAATTTGAGCTGGTATCAAATCTGACATTAATATTACTGTAATTACAGCATTTACTGATATCAAATATATGTATATATATATATACTTCCCTTCACTTTCAGCACCGTGTAAAAACGACCAAACCGCCAACATTACTTCTCTAAGCTCCAAGTCTCCTGTGATCCTGCAAGAATCACGATTCAATTTTTGCATGAATGAAATTAAATCAGGAAGGAACTGAGAGAAAAATATAACAGGTATTTGTATTTCAGCATAAATCATTTAAAGTGAGAAGAAACTGAAGATCTAAGTTGTGAATTTCAAAGTGACACCTTAAAAAGTCAGTTCATGCTAACATATGCTAATAACAGTTGAGCACAACTGTTAGATTTCTGCTGCTACGAGATAAACTTTTAGTTTTACTTTTTAGCTGAGGCTTCAAGGAGATGCAGTAACTTTTTAGAGAGGATTAGAGAAACTTTAAAACAGTCAAACTAAAAGCTCCAGAAGTTTGAGTTGGTTTGACAATCAGGAAACTGAGGCTAAAAGACTTTAAGCTGTTAGCAACAGGATGTGATCAAGAAAAGTTAGAGATGTTTTATCAATGTTCAA